ACAGTACAAATGGCGTGAGGCCAAAGCACTTTTAGTTACGTAAACCACACTTTTTCATTTCACTACTGATCACATTATGAACACAAAATGATCAACTGCGACTGACAGCATAACTATGCTCATCATAGTAAGTGACTTCCCCTCCATGCTTTGAGGCGTACCAAGAGGATTCACTGCATTGATTATTTCCTTTAATATCTATTCACATTTTATACAGTGTGCAATCAACGTGCGTGGGTAATATGATTAGACACTTAGGTCTAGCTGTAAGATGATGTTGCTTGTTATCGAACGCATCAAAACCATTGGTGGAATTGCAAAACTAGAATGGTATTACATTTTGATATCTTTAAACCAAAAACCATACCACTTGGTCAGACAATAATCAACCGCATCAGCGTTGTCTTACTTATTGAGTGGTCGAATCCATCCTCTTAATTTATATTACACATCTGCAGCAGGATTTTAGATATAATTTTGTTGAGGTCTTCATTTCAACAGTTCACAACATACATAGACCAACCTAGCCCGAAAAAGCGCCATACGCTTTCGCTCTATTGCGGCTCGTCAGTGGTGTGCATTTCCTCGGTCCTCTATGGAGAATCGAACTCACGACGCAGCCTCAATACTCTCAGTGACAGTAGAAGTGCTATATCCCAGTTAATTTGCAAATTATGTAACCCAACCAACGTCCCCCATGTCTAAGTTACTTAAACTGCTCGCTAGTTGGCATCTGTTTTAGCGGTCATGGATGGGCTCCTCCTTAGAGCACCGAGGAAATGCACACCACTGACGAGCCCCAATAAAGCGAAACGCGTCCGGTACATTTCTGGACTACGTTGCGCTATGTAACTTGTGAACTACTGAGATGTAAACCTCAACTAAATTACAACTAAAATCCTGCTGCTTACCAGTAATATAAAATAAAAAGCCTCTCCTAGTTTCAAATTCTAAGGGTATAGCGTCTATCGAGAGGACGTCATCATCTCGCAGGCTAGCCACTCTCAATGGCATTGGAAGATAGATAATGCTATGTCCCAACTGGTTTTCAAAATATGTAGCCCAACCAACGTCCCACTTGGCTCAGTGGCATAAACTGCTGGCTAGTTGGCATCTGCCTCTAGCGTTCTTGGGTTTGATCCTCCGTAGAAGACCGACGGAATGAGAACTAATGACGTGCCCCAATAGGGCGAAACGCGTCTGGTACTTTTCTGGATGTGATTGGCGATATAGATTGTGAACTATTGGGATAAAAACCACAATATATCCTCTTAATTTTCAATTCGCAATGCCACATTAATTGGTGTTCGATATTTTGTGGCCAGGTGTCAAATACAAATTTTTAGCAGACACATGTTTGAACATTGAGAATGTGGAAGTAACCAGGCGCAATCCGGCGCAGGCTAGAAATATGTTCCAGCCGTATATTCAACGGCCTTATCAGTGATTAAATTTTGGCTTTTTGCATAGTTGCAGCTAATTACTAAAAGATGACTACATCGCTGATTGGCAATGCACAAGATGGAGCATATACGAGGGTTTAACAAGATATTTTGACCCCTATTAATTGTTTCCACTTCGGAGTTGCAAAATCGATAATCCAAATTGGTCAAACTTGCCTGTGAAGTCAGGGTTTTGCTGTGAAGTCATGCAAATTTATCGGCTCCTCTAGGCACAACAGTGATTGTTATTTATTCTATTTATTCGCTAAAACTTGTAAATTTTAAATGATCGTTCCCACTTATGAAGCCGTGTACCGTCCGTCGGGAAATACACAAATTTATTTGTTTATCTACTTATTCCTTTTCTATTGCTTTGTTATTATAGATAAGCCATAAAAGACACAAAATGTGCATGTTTTTGTTCGGTTTTTAAAATATGCATGTATGACGAATTTATTTTTTATTTTACTTTCGCAGATAAAACTGTTATCTATTGGTAGTTCGTTCGTTGCCATAGAGCCAAACCATCGGCTGCTTGAGGGGGGCACAGTTTAGTAGATGGCTGCAAGCTAGGCTTCTGGCTAAAAGATACTATAAATCATGGGTGTAGTAAGTAGTTTTGAATGGTACACATAAAAATTCACCACACGTAGATTCATTCATGTAGCTATAACACGCCACGAAAAGCTCAGTGCGACCATTTGTACCTTTCGGGAATAGTCAACAATGCGCATACGATCTGATCCCTGTGGGGCTGGAATTGCTAACTCGACTGTTGCCAGGTTGTGGTTGCGATGATTGAGATACGGAGCACCGTAGAGACTATGATGACTAAGCTACTAGGTGTGGTATATTGATATTGTAACTAGCAAACTCATTGAATTTATTGGCGATGTAGTGTTGTTTCTTCGTTTGGCTCAGAAGATGTGTAACGTCAGTATTGTTTGTAATCCAAAGATTAAAATTAACCTACTTATATGTAGTTTGTGGTGATTCGCATATGCGCTGCTGCATATACAAATTCGTAGGCTTTCACCGACACTACGAAGATGCATTTTCTTGTAATCGCTGAAATGTAAGTAACAACTGCGTTTGTGATTTGTAAGCCCGTCAAATTAAATACATTTGATAGATTTCACCTCTCATCTCACAAGCCGGTTTCACTTGAACTCGCGCCAGTTGTATATCTGAAATCACACGATAAGAAAACCCACTATATTAGGCAGAAGCTGGTTGCGGGTTTAGTGACTTATGCACCAGCCATGATTTTAGCACCATCCTTTATTTCGCCATAATTCCTGCTTACATAGGTTATCAATATGTTGCATCAAGATTTATCAGTTATACCAATCGCAGGTAGCTTACGTCATACCCTTAATGCTGGCCGACCAATAAGCAGGCTTTATTCCAAGTAAAAGTTGTCACGCGTCTGATTTGTGTCGGGTATTCTGGTACTGCAAACGATTTCACGCTTCTTGGTGTGAATAAAGTAACCTGAACCCGGATTCCGAAATAGCAAATATATCAATGAAACGAATAGTCCAACATCCCGAGCTAAGTAAATTAGCCAGCTGAATTCAGCCTGGAATTCTGTGCTAAATTACTTGCGGACAAAACTTGAATACCTCTTTCTCTAACAACGGAGATTTTTTAACAGATGTTTCACATTTGAAACGCCGTTTATATTGATCAAACCTTTTGCGCAAACTTTTTATTGAATGACCAAATTCGTTTGTACGTAAGAATCGGAAATACGTTTTGCTATGAATCCTACAGGGTTTACGTTTATCTTGGTACCCTTAATTGAAAAATTTCAGTGTAGCCGGGCAAAACGCAGTCACAATTCAGTGTACTCAAAAGAGTTTCCTCGGTGTGTTAAGTCCCGGGAAAATGGTTGATGCAAATTCACTGGTCGAAAATTATTTTGTTGCATCAACTAGACAGACTTGGTGGTATTTTGCTGAACCCTTAGCAAGCATGTTTTAAAACCAAACTTAACGTTAAATATATATATCAAATGATAGCTCTAAAAGTTATTACACGTCTTGTTAAAGCCAGAAGGAAGCGGAATCACTGTTTATGGCTGCGTCAACCAACGCTGTGTGCTATTCATTATTTCTACACATTATAATTATCTCAGTGATCTGGCTGATACTTTCTCGAATTTTCTCACAGACAGCGGAATACGGTAGTTTGTTTTGCTAAGATTCTGTTAACTGCTGAGGAAGGTGACCTCTGAATATACAAATGACCAAATAACGATGCAATTAAATTTACTTAGTCAGGGGAACAATGAAATGCTTATAGACGAGTTATGAAGACGTTCAATTGTTTGTTGAAAGCAACAGTTCTTCTCGAAGCAGAACTAACCGGCACAATGTACTGAATCGGTAAATCATAAAACATTAGTGCCTACGGATTTTTTCACTCACGTAAGTAACAAAAGCAATTGGGCAAGATCTACCTGACTACCACCCAAGATTTGATTCAAAGTTTACCAAATCAATCCATTGCATTTACTAACCCATAGTAGTTGACAAACGTAAAGTAATTCAAATACAATTTTTCAATTTATCATTAGCGCAACGCTACAGAATTTGTAATTAGACGTTGATTATGTGATAAACATTTCCCTATGCTTATTACATGTATAATAAGCCTAGCCACATTTTCCAACTACCTTTCCCTTATATGTAGCGGGCTTTTTGTTTCTTACCAAGGATTTCGTGATGAAGCCAAAATTAAAGAGCAGACTAACAGAATTCACTCCAGTGAACTTTTGGACTGGGGTACACGCTTCTTTTGATTCCAGAGTACACACACATGATAAGTGACGGTTGATTGACAGCAGTGTGTGAGAGAAACAATCTCAGTACGTGTCATTATCGCTGCAGAGGGTTGAATTATTAACCCAGTGGTTCGCGCATCTTCTCGACTGAAAAAGCCGGTTAGTGAGGCTGTACTACCTTGTCCACATTACCTACGGAAGAATTCAGCACTGGTTTATCGGTTAATTCTATGTCTTTACAGTTCGATGAACATATTTGCAGTATAGCTTTAAAACTGCAGGTGAGCAAACAGTTCACTTATAAGATTTAGTTTTAAACCCTGACTATTATGTATAAAGCAGCCCATTTTTTGAATCGGTTGATGCGCTCTGTTTCGGAGCCATACTATTGAACGGCATATACATTCACAGCTAAGGCGCGCAAATTTTATGAAGGTTGAGGGAAAGTGTATTGTGTGTTAGCCGCGTTAATCCACCGCACTTGCAGCATTTCAAGTTTGATTCCTTCTGTAGTAGCAAGTACAGACTTAAGAGTTTATTTTGCATGGTTTAAATGCTTCATTACACTAGCTAGGAGTTTTAGTGTCAGAACATTTAATACACTATTTTAAAATGCAGCGATGCACCCATCCTTAGGGAGAAGTTAGCACCACAAGACATATTCGTACAGTTTATATCACTAGCATTTAAAATCACATATGGTACTCAATGTAATCACATTTACAATGTTTGATCTATTAAAAACTTGTCAAATTTGTTGCTTTGCACAGGAAATGGCTATGCTCTTTTGGTTTTTTACTGAATACTGTATTCGCGTGTGGAGCGCTGGTTGCCGATCACGCTATCAGACATGGCGGGGAAGACTACGGTTCATGCACCGGCCGTTCTGCCTTGTCGGTAAGTTTTCACAACAGTTTCAGCCATGTGATATTGTATGCATGCCATACCACAATGATCGTGAACATGTTGATTTGCAACCACTTCTGTTCTAACATTAGCTTTAATCACGCTTTTAACGACGTAAATTACTCGAAAATTATATTAATCTTGAGAATTGTCTACATGATCGATCTGAAGTTCATATGTTCATCTGCATTTATAGACAAATGAAACCAAATTTAAAACTGTTAAATTCCATTAAAAGTTATACGCGCACTTAACTACATCATAAAAATTATTAGTAAACCGTTTCATGCAGGGCAATCTGGCAGCAGTCTGTGAGCAAATCACTTTCCTCCTCTGACACGGAGGGACGCAGATGGCTGAACAGTTGTCTACCTGTGGCCCTGTCACGCAAGCAATTTTCAAACCAATGCACTACACAGTGAACCTTATCCTAAATACCCTGACTTTGATCATTTTAATTTGGAATTTATAATCATATCTATAATGCACCATTACAAGATATGAGAAGTATGTCACTACTGAAATATATACCGTAGTGCTATTACGAACAGTTGAAGCTGATAGTACTGTGGACTGCAAGAACTATTTATAATTAAAAAGCTTCATATTATATAAAGGAAAATATGCTAGTTACTCTGATTCCATTATCCTGAGAGTTACCAGATGTCTCTTTCCCGTGATACCAGTGATCGGTTGAGATTTAAATGAAACATTGTGCAAACCTCCGACTGCTTATTCATAGAAAGACAAGGTCTACTGATCAAAATGTACGGACGTGTAGACTAGCAAGCAGTTGAACGAATTAATAAACCGTAAATGAGTAAACGAAATGTAAAAATGCTGCAGGCATATGAAATTAAACCAACACGTTTATGGATTCACACAATTGCCTTGCTTTATATCGTTTTGTGGTAGCCCATGAATTGACACACAATGTCACCGGACACATGCAACTACGCGATTAAAGTACAAGGTGGGAAAATATTGGTTACAGGCTTTTAAATTACAATAAATGTAAACCCGTAAATAAAAAATTAGAAATATAAAGAATTATTTAAATAAATAAGTGACCATAATCTACTAGGCTGTGTCTGTTAAACGATAAAAAATGCTGACATACAATGCAACTGAGCTAAATACGCCAGATAAATGGGCCTCCAAACTCATATTCGTTCTGTTATATAAGTCTTAACAAAGTCTTAACAAAGTACAAGATTGACGACACCCAAATAAATGCCTGAAAGCCTTCCACAATAGAACTCCGCGTTTACTTACTTTGGATAATGCATGAATAAATATGTCAACCCAAGCAGATAAAACAATAATTTTACAACCATATTTTAGTATGGTTGTTGGATCCGGTATGGTTTCGTTTGAAGTTGCAATGTACCAGGGCCGTGAGAAGCGTTGCACAATATTACTACTATTATTACTATTATTTTAATCGTTAGTAACAAGTGGGAAACACCTCAGCTACTGTGCCGCAATACTTAATAGAAAAAAGTGAATAAAATGCAACAGGTGCAAGCCAGCTGAGCTACCGATAATGGATGGGCATTGTTCTAGAAATTACCATCCGGATACTATGCGGCAGCAAAAGCGATTTAATATTTAAAATTGTAAAAGGCTAAATAGTGAGATCGGGGTTGGAAGAGGAGGCTATGTGGGATGGGGTGGGACAAATATACTCAAAACACGAACGCCACCGAAGTCGGCTGCTAACCATATCAACAAGTGTATCCAGCCCAACGCGTTCATCGTTTTCGGACCCCAACCAGGGAGCCAGGGCGCTACAGCTGAGGACAGCTTAGAAGTGAGGACATTCATTCCTCTCGATCAAGTCATCTCTTGGTACCCTGTCCTCTTCTTTCATCCACACGTCGCGTAAACAACAAAGGTTGCGAGAGTCTGTGGGCTGGCATGCGTAACACGTAGCCGAGCCATCGGAGTTTGGTGCATGAAATAGCTGTGCTGAGCTGTTTCTGTTTTGTAAACAAGAAGTCGAACACGCTGGTTGCTTACTCGGTGTTCACATTAGACGTGAACTGAATTCCAAAGGTACAGGTAATCGAACAAAACTAGCCTCTTTTTGTCTGCTGATCTAAGGGGCCAGATTTCACAACCGTACCGCAGGTTCGAACATAACATTGCAATGAACTCTCTACTCTTCAGTGCTAGAGTGAAGCCGCGCCGGCACCATAAGTGGCGAAGGTTAGCAAAAACGCCTCGAGCTTTTGTTATTCCGCTCGTGGTCTGATCTTCAATCCCACGGGCGCTAATACAATTTCCCAGGTAGTTGACTTTTTGTACGACTTATATCTGATCCTTACCAAGGGTCAGCGCAGCAGGCGGTCCCCGCCAAGTTTGGAGGAACACTTTACACTTCGAGGGTGCGAAGCAAAGCCTGAAGTGACGGACAGCCAGCACTAATCTGTCCAGAGTTGTTTGGCAGGTTTGTGAACTGTCACAGATTAGGGCAATATCGCTTGTATACTCCAAGTCAAGAAGTCGTTCTGGGAGCAGGTCCACACCTTATAAATCATGTCTTGTGAACGAGCTTACCTTGACTTCTTCAATAACAAAGTTGAGGAGGAATGATGACAGCGAGTATCCCTGTCTCACGCCGCTGCAGTTATTAAAGGGCGATGACGGCTTGCCGTAAGCCATCACTATGCCCGAGCTACGCGCGTAAAATTCTCGGATGAAGGTTACATATTTCTCAGGTGCACCATTCCTGAGTAGACAGTCCCAAAGTGCACGTCTATCCATTAATTCGTATGCATCTTTGATATCGAGGAACACGACCACGGTGTGCCGCCTATATATGTGAAGGTGATCCAACTACTGACGCAAAGTAGAAATGTGGTCATTGCAGCTACGACCTGGATGAAACCAGGCTTGCCCTTAAAGAATATGGCTTTCACAAGTGCCAGTCAGTCTGGGAAGGATGACAGAGGCAAGCAATTTGGAGGCGATGGAGTTCATACTGATTCCTCTATGTTTGCCGCATGCCGATCATGAGCGTCCCTTGTACCTCCCGACTATGACGGAGCGGCTGCTGTCGGTTGGGACAGTTTCCTGCTCCCACAGTTTCACTAGTAACTCTTACAAAATTTCTACTGGAGCTGGTTCCCCGAATTTGAAGAGGGCTGGAATAAGATCATCTAGTCACGCGGCATTATTTAGCTCCAACAGCCCGACCACACGTTCGACTGCTGAGCGAGAGGGTGGGTCCAAATGGACAGCCCAGGGAGCAGTGGGATCAGTGGCCGGCAAGAAATCTAACAATTCCGACCCATTAGATTGACTTTTACAGCGTTCAGCCTAACACTTCACGCGTTTTGAAAAAGTTATGGATATGCTGTTCACTCTCGTCGCGTATAGTCTCATTAACACCAGGTCGGCTGCTGCCCATTTCCCGTATCAGCCGGAACAACTTGCCATGGTTGCCAAGGGCACGGGCCATTCCTATCTCTGAAGCAAGATGAGACCACCAGGATTCGCGATCTCTCTTCAGGCTAGCACGGAGTTTAGTCCGGAGGTCTTTACGAGTTTCCTAGTGTTCGCTTCCAGACGGAATATGCCGGCGATCATCGATAAGTTTCAGAGACTGCGAAGAGAACCAATGTCTTTACTGGCGATTAGACTTACCACATAAGGATTGACCTGCTGCTAGTAAAGTCTAGTGAATTTGAGACCAGTGAGCAATTGCATCAAATGGGCGCCTACATAACTCGCATGACAGATTACTTTGATAGGCATTCAGAATAGCTGGTTTCGCCAGTTGGCTGGTGTCAATGCGCTCACATCTTCGTCTTGGGCATCCGCCAAAAACATATCCGCAGGTCAGCACATACAAGTGCACGGTCTGTGTCCCCACATGGGATCCAAATCAAACGACAATTCTGGGCGCAGACTCTCCAGCGGTAAGCTATCGCAATGTGATCAATTTGCGCCCAAGACAGGTTCCAGGCTAGTGGGCGCCAAGTCACCCTCCGACAGGTGTGTCGGAAATTAGTGCTCGCAAGAAATAAGCGAGCATCTTCACACAAATGAAGTAACCAATCACTGTTTTCATTACGGAGCCTATGCTATGTTGGCCGACCAGTTGCAATTCATCAGTGTATAATTTTCTAATTTGAGCGTTCAGATCCCCCGTCAGCACAACAGTGTCCGAGCTTCTTCTGTGGCGAAGGAGCTGTGTCAGTTGGCGGTAGAATTCGTCTTTTACTGAATCATCGCTTGTTTGTGGGTGCATAGGCAGCGATGACGAAAAGACACCTGTTAGTCCCACGCGACTTCGAGGCTTTGAACGAGCCAGCCAATCGGACCGCACACAACCGGCTACTGACTGGAATCCAGTCAACCTTAGCAGCTTCAGCCCGGGGACTCAGGGCAATACCAACACCGACTTGGCCGGTGCTCGAAGCTGCATCGTTACCGGATAGGCGCAATGAGAAAGTGCTGCTAGTGTCACCTGAAGGGGATCGCAGGTTGAGTACAGAGCTCGATTCTTGCAGGCGGGTCTTCGATAAGCTGCAGATATCGATCGATAGGGTCTCTAATGTTCTGGCTAATATTGCCTGTTAACCGATCTGTAGCAGTGTGCGTACATTGAGGCACCTCAATCTGAAAGATGATCGGGGGATCCAAATGGAATCCGATGTACTGGGCTTGGCCGCTTGCTTGGACATGAGCTCGTCGACAGGGGCAGGAATGACCATCCACGTTCACATGTGAGTTGAAACTAAAAGGTGAATGCCTATCGGAGCAAGGTGAGTGAGGGTCAAGGATTGGGGGTTGAAAAGAGGAGGAATAAAAATGAAGCTGGAATGGGACGGTAGGAGCGAAAATGCTTAAGCGGGGGATAAGAATTTGGGTAGGCTTGAGCAGTAACATCCAAACCCCTATCAACCCCACTAGGTGCAGCAAATACTGCACCGTTGTTTGTCCTGTACGGTGGCCAGAGCATCAAGAAAGCACTTGAGGCT